GAGACAGCAGCACGCGGAGGAACGGAGCTCGGGGTAGAAACCGCCAGACGCGTAACTAGCTGATAGACGCTACCCTGAAGCTGTACGGTCGTCGCTTCATACCGCTGCGCATGTTTGAGTATCGCACCAACCTTGGAACCAACAGCACCTAGTCCTGCCTGCGATCCTGCCATGCGTGCGTTGATATTCTGGTAGGTCTCGAGGACGCTATCGAGGCGCACCCCTAAGGTACGCAGCAAATCAACAAGCTCTGCAGTCGGGAGACTGCGATTGGATGGAGTCCGGGCACTGGAGGATGCGGGAGAGGAAACAGGGGGATCGTCGACGGAGCGCTTTTCAAAGTCGAGGTCGTCAAAGAAAGAATCGAGAGTGGGCGTGCGACCGGGAGAAGCTGCCGCGGGTGCGACAACATCACCTGGAGCGGCTGCCTCAACGGGAGGAGTGTACCATGTCCACGATGCGTCAAGACCCAGCTCATCAACCCGACTTCCACCATTCTGTGTTGGTCAACTTGACAATGCATCAGTGACACTGCCTGTTCAACCGGATTGATGGAACAACTCGAGACAAAATTGCTGAATATAAATCAATGCTCGAACGCTGATTCAACCGTTCGACAGCCATCGTACCAAGCATGTAGGGATAGACCAGTGATCCTTTATGGACGTGACTAGTTTCTCTCCTCATTGTTAAGGAGTCCTTGAAGACATCGTACTAAGTGTAAACCGTTTGGCCCACCATAGGGGAACAGTTAGCCACTATGGTTTGTTAATAGTGCGGAGCTTAGAGAACATGTTCAATAATGCAAACATTCAGCTGGAGTGGTCATGTTGAAATGACCATGGTCCGGTCTCTATGACTGGACAGCACTACTTGGCAGAGCGCATAAAGTCCCAGGCCATAACACGCTACCATGTGTGCGTTCCATTAAGCATGCTTTGGGTCAACAGTTGGAAATATAACCAGTGACAGGTACTGTAAACGGAGGCCGTTGTTTGTCGGTATCACACAGAGAATGTCTACTATCCGAGAAGATATAAGCATAAAACCGACCGACCAACGTTCTTCTCAGCTAGCGTACTAGCTGATATCTTCCGATGTGAAAAATCCACTGGCCCACGCTGTTTTTCATTTCTTTTTACCATCCCCATAGTCTGTTCTGGTTGGGAAAAGAGGAAGCCTTAACGGGCCATCGGGTCGACGCTCGAGGATGTCTAATCTATATCGACAAGAGCAAAGAGCCTTAAACGCACGGAACGATCACAGTCCCCACTTCCGACAATTGGGAACCGCTGACAGTCTGGACCTTTGGGCAATACTGAATGCCGGGTTGTCTCTTTCAAATCTGTTTCTCGGCTACTTGTGCCCGATATGGTGATATTATTATAACGCCATGAGCACCTCTGTCCACAAGGCTTCGGGCCGGTGCGACCCCAAGCTTGACTTCATGAGAGATCCTCTTTGTATCACCTTCAACATGCGCAAGATGAAATAAGATCGCCCGGCAGAGTCCAGGTCTTATTACCCAGTCGGACCACCAGGGGGCTTGCCGGGTTTATCCCGGCGACTATGCGAAGCCTACTGCTGGATGGTCGGGCCTGGCCGTTATAAAGAGGTGATAAGGACTTCGAGACGAAGCGTTGTATAACGCTGCAATGCGTACAAGCCCTATACGGTGCCGCCTGATCTTCCCAGCGTTAGGCGTAGTACAAGTAACCAGGCCGCGTTCGTACAGACATCCTCGATGTCTATCAGAGGTGAAGAAAAGGATAAAAGTGGAATATTTCAGCGTTTCCATATACCATGCCATCGTACTTAGCCAATGCGTTATGGGCAGCTCCACACATTACCTATCAGGGTAGAAGCATAGCCCGTTCGGCCAAGCTTCCAAGCCTCGATGACCATGTTGTTCTCCTGGCTGGGACTGATCGTAATGTATGACTTGACTGTCGTTCCGGGAATCTCTAGCCATCCTCGTTTATCAATGGGGGCCGAGGCTCATATTCTGATAGATGTGCTGAGTTTTGAGGGCGACTGTCGCGTTTCATATCAATGTCCACAGTTATTTTCTTTTCATTGGTAGACGAGCAAATGACCTAAGCACTTCGACATCCAGCTCGAGGCGAGACCCTAAATCTCTTCCTGGTGCAATTTGAGTACCGAATAGTTCCCCAAATGTGATCACGATTGAAGTTCCATGAGAAATTTTGCGCCATCCGGTATCTTTCCTGATGGCCCAGTCCAAAATATATCCATCAATCTCCACTAGGCTTAACTGTAACCCCAACTCTGCATGTCATTCCACCCACCAAAGCTCATGGTCAATCTCCTTGAGACAAGTAGCCTGATAGTTGGGATTTGTATGGTTTGATATGACTTGCTTATCGATTTATGTGAGACAAACACCGCAAAAGGTTTCATCCACAGAAAATGGCGATAGAGGGACTTGGGGGCAGCTTTCTGACCAGCAGCAATAAATTGGTGGTTTGATTGTTCTATGATATATGCCCGTAACGGAAATAGTTGAATATACTGGGATGTTCATATCAGGTGTAGATCCACTTTGTCTGGTGATGGAGTTCGCAGGTTAGCCTGTTTGCATATCTATACCGTTGGTGAGTCCACAGTAAAGATGACCGGCGACAGGTTCTCAGGCGCGGTCTCGAATAGCTGTCAAATTTGTATACCAACCAGGAGATCTCTAGCTCTGTTGGCCAGCAGTTGTATTCTGCTAGTATCAAATTCCGGCCAACAGATAAAATCGATTCGGACGATGGTTGAGCGGGCGGTTTTGAGACATCAAGATAATTGTAATGGCTTCTCAGCCGACAGACCGTCGCTCCATAACCATCTCCTGGGCTAAGTGACAGTCACTCCTTGCTGTTTTCTCATTTTGCTTATCTTAATAGCGCACAGAAAATAGTTCTAATGCTGCCGATACCCAATTAATCCGCCCTCGGACTACCCCTCTCATATGAGACGTACTGATGCCAGCTGCCTCCACTGCAAGTCAGCACCTAAAGGAGGCTGACCAACACAGTCAGTCTCAAGGTCCTATTCATCGAGATGAGCAATCTGTTCTCGGGTCGACCGGATGTTGAGCCTAGCCGCTCGTAACGCCTACTAATATCCGACAGGATACGACATTTCTGCGATATCTTCAGAAAGAATCACAGGCGTGAGAGCGAGATAAAGCGACTATTCATTTATATTCTTCCTGGGGTATAGCCGAGCTTCGGACATATATTCTTGGAATACCATGGCTCACCATAGTCCACCTACTCGAATAGCGGTTCTACCGTCGTTGTAGATCTTCTGGCCATAGTCATGGTGTCTCCCGATATCTCCTCCAAAAGACACTTCTTGAAAGCTGCAACGTAAATGGCGGATCGACCTGAGCACGGCGTAGCTGATCTTGGATTTCCTGTCCCATGGAGAAGCCTGCTCCGGCTGAAGTGATAGCCACTATTCGTCTCATTCCGCTGTTGGAATCTCATAGATGTCTGTTGAGCGGTTCGTGCCACTGCACCAAGTATGCCAAACCCCAGGACGATTCCTGGAGGGTCTAGTTCTTCATCTGTCGCGTCGGCAGCGCCACTTAGGGCCAGGACTCGATGAATTACCCACTATAGCAGAAGGAGCTGGCTAGTTTGGAATGGGAGTCCAGCGGGGGCGTCAATATGAAATCGAAAATGCCACCTGACTGGATCTCCTTTCTAGTATCAAGCTTGAACAACATGAACATTCCTTCGCCGTTCATTACCCTTGAGGAAAGGTTGCAGGTGATAAAACCGGGGACTTGGTTGACTTGGTGAAGTCACTACTGCTGCTGTTCTGTATGCTGTTCTTGTTGCTATTGTCGTTGCAGGTGCTGTTATGCCCACCGCAATGGAGGCAACTGCAGCAGCACCAACAGCAAATATCCCCCATTATCTGGTTCAGCATTAATTGCTTCCCAGTGACTAAATACGATTGTCTAACATAGCAAGCCACTATTCGGTACACTCCGGCAAATGACGTTTATTTGCTCAAGGTATCGATGAGATATGGGTGCCTTGTCTAGCTTCAGAATTGTTAGCTTTGCTTTCTGCTTATATTAGCCATATACACTTACGACAAAGTGCCTCTCGAGGGACCAATTGACCAGTACTATTTTTGAAGCGTTCCAGTTGTTCAGCTGCTCAATAATAACCTAACCATGGTCAAGATCAAGAGTCAAGTCCTTGCTCAAACCGTGGGCACGGCAAGAGGATCTAGAGAAAAGAGCATGGACGGCCGGATTGCTGTGAGCTCTTGTGGGAGTAGATTTGAACAGCGTACCGACGTCGATGCTTTCGGTCATAATATATGCAGGGCCTTGGGGAGATGAAACTGGTATTTTGTAGTGATGGTTAGGGCTTTATAAGGAATGCACCTTTCTTTCCTTCGTGAGGGAGGATTAGGTCTTGCTAAGGGACAATTCTCTTAGCAAGAGGCTGTGGGTCTCTCAGCTAGGGTAATATGAGATGGCTTTTGACTGGAGTTCAGAGCTGGTATAACCACTATGGCTATGATGGATGTAAAGGTCCTATGGACAATGTACTTACTTGGGTGGATGATGTGGTATCAAGAATAATGGGAGGTGGATCCTACGGCACAGGTTATATAGACAGAATATGCCATTAACTTAGTTTCTTCACCTAGGGTTTTCATTGTGAATTATATAAGTGAAGCTTGGAGTCGAACTATCTTTTGTGAAGCTACCCATACAGAGTAGAGACAGTGATGTATGCTATACGATGTATTCACTGCAGAGCAGATAGCCTGCCGCTATGCCAAACCTAACGCCGATGTGTACTTCCTCTGAGGAAGCCATGTTTTCAGACAATAAGAAATATAATGTAGAATAAATATACTTCAAAATCATGCCAACGTGGTGGTATCTCCGGGTTAACCCAACCGTAAATGCAAATAAATATCATAAAGAAAATCAAAGTGTATCGCTAGCCCGTCGTATTGTGCTACCGTTGATAGCGCGGCAATGACTCGTCTCCGTGCGCATTGCCACCAACCAGCTGGTGATCGCCTTCGTCGTGGAAGACGGGAGCGCTCGGTCCATCGGCGGCATTGCTATGGGACGGTCCATTTTCGTCTGGCGCGCTCGCCTCCATCTGTAACCGTTGTCGCTCCAGCTCTTGTTTGTCATCGCTTGGTGCGGAAGGCTGACTCAGAGCACTACTGCCGGGCACGACTGTTTGAACTGATTCTGCTGAAGTCAACGCTTGCCGCACCGTGTTCTCAGTCGGTGAGGGTAAATGATGGTAGCCGTTGATGTGATCATCCTCGGGAAGCACAGGAGCCGTGGGAACATCGGTCGACGGTCCAGCTTCCGCCTCATTCGGCGGTTGACTGGGAAGCAGCATCTGCTCCGCATGCCGCATGCGCGCCTTTTCGTCTATCGGTTCTTCTGATTGGGGAGTCGATACAATCTCGCCCAATGACTGGAACTGCGGCTGCGACTCGTCCCCGTACTCCGGCCAGAACAGCTCCTGCGGCCCATACTCTTCCGGTGACGGATATTCGGATTCCCCATTGGGCACAGAGTGCTGATCTGCCGGCCAATGGTCCCCATCCCCTTGAGCATTTCCGCCTGAGGACTGCAGATCCGAGCTCGCCGCGGTTGAGGAGGCGCGTCGTGGTTCGTTTTTCCGGCGATGGGAATCCCTCGTTCCGATCACCACCTCAAAGGCGACGGCGACGACACCTTTCTCTCGCCGGATTTGGTCGGTATCTAGGATGTTCCCCGCCCAATTCGCCGTGATGGCGTTGCTGTTGGCATCGGTCGGATTCAGGATCTTGCCGCTGGGAGAATAATTACTGCCAGAGGTGACCAAGTTGAACCGCGGCAAGAACCGCTCGGGCGAGGTGAGCTTGCCGCGAAGATCGACCACAACCTCCACATAATAGCGGAAATTAATCATACTCCCCGGGGTCCGCGTGATAGTGGGGAACGTATCTTCGGGGATGCGGATGGATGTTTTCACGATGGCCGTCAAGGTGGTGGGATCGACCACCAACGGGGCGAACGTCTGCGCCAAGTCCTTCCGGAAGACGCTGCTGGTCCGGCTGGTGCCGATCGTCAGACCGCCCAATCCCGTTCGGGATCGCGGATAGATGTCCTCATAAACGGGCTTCTTCCCATTCGCGGAGGTCCCAACGGGAATCGACGGGTGAAGGTCTATCCGTCCTTGGCGATAGAGTGTGATAATAATCCCATGTGCGCTGCGTACCTGTTTGCAATGGTTGATGGTGACTTTGATGGGTAATGTATCTCCAGGAAGCACGCCCGCGCGCAGAACCTCTGTTTTAGCCGTGATGGTTTTATCCCCTAAGGAGGGCGTGAGACTGCGCGCTTCACTATTTCGCAGTCCAGTGCCGGCTGACGAGCTCGGGTCACTGGCTATTTGGAAACTTTGGCTGCTGTTGCTCATCCGACTCGACGAGCTGACGTTACTAGGAGCGGGACTTAACGGAGGGCGATGGTCCGAACCCGCTGCGCCACTGACCGAGACATCGACCGACGTTGAATCCGGTGCCGCATCCGAGCTTGTCGATTTCGCCTTTGCCTTCGATCGCGTGCGCTTCGAGACCGGCTCCAGTGTCACAACACGGGCTTTCGGGGCGGGAAAGGGAGCGATATCAATATTCTCCATGAGGTTCACACGTCGGCGGCAGGAAACGGTTGGGTTGATAGTGGTAGGTTTCGTTAGGGTGGACGTAAGCATATAGGCAATGGTGCCTCGTTCGAACTAGACGCCGCATCCGTTAGCGAATAATGGGGGAAATCTGCACGAGCCGCCGTGGATTACGCACACTGATGCTACTGGGGAGGGCATATGGCGGAAAGACCATCTCAAAGCGAAACTTGTAGATCCCCTCCTTAAGGCGGCCCTCTCCGCAGAGGACGACCTCGTCTTCGAACAGCGTAGCCAACCCATTGCCCAAATACTCTGCTCCTCGGCGCCCGCGCCCAGGCCCGAGAAATCCCACATCCGGGGCCGTCTCCCCGGAGGGAACTGTATTCTTAAAGACCTTGACATAACCATGTAAACAAACCACGAGATGTGTAATGCGAACGGGACGAGCGACGGTAAGGACGACGGTCCCCTTGATCACATCCCCCGGGAAATATGAACGCCAGGGGTCGTCGGGCTCGATGTAGAAATCAGTAAGGCTGCGACTGCGCTGACCGAGTGACGAACGAAACTTGTGTAAGAGAGAGCTGCGATTCCGACCAAGCGGCGACGAGGAGGGTTGAGCGGGGGGAGAGTTGACGGACATGACCCACAGTCACACCTCCCTCAGTCCATACACGAGGAGTGGAGGTGCTAGTTGGTAAGAGGAAGAGAGAAACAGGAAAGAGGAACGAAGAGGGGCGACAAAAGAAGGGAGGGTAAGGGAGGGGAGGAATGCAAGAACAGAGTCAACTTCAATATCCACAATATCGAACGACCAACCAGAGACAACGAAATCAGAGGAACGGCCACGCAAGGGGGTTGAATGGTGAGCCCGATATAGCTGAAGGACCGTTCAAAATTCCCCGGTGCAGCCAGATAAGGCCGTGTGGACAAATCAATGACTGATCGATATTAACAACCAAATGAAACCGATCGATCACTCGAGCAATCAATCTGCCAGTCGGGAGCTTCGGGCAATCAATCCCACCAGACCCAGTGTCAGCGTCGGGCGCAAATACCGACGGGGAAAACAAACACGCGACCGAGCAATGCTTGTTTTTGTCTAGTGCTTCCTTTTTCCGTTTCCCTCGCTTGTCCCTCCAATCTGAAATTGCACACGCGATAGGGGAAGGTCGGAAAAGGGATCCTATGTACAAACGACGAGTCGGACAGAGGGGGTGGACGGCGAAGGGACCGAGGGAGAGAGAGGAGGGGGTGGAAGAGGCGCAGGAGAATCACGAGCGGAGATGACAGGCCCGCATCCTTGAGCGAGAACTGGCAAGAGGGTCAAGTATCGCCCTCAGCCCCGGAAGTACAGATTGCCGGAAGTGAGGGAGAGAGAGAGCGAGAGAAGGAGAGAGAAGCGTTTTCGAAGACGACACGGGGAGGGTTCAATGCGGGAGTCGCAGGATGAAGGCCAATGGAGTCGAGGGTCGGACAGATCGGAAAGCGCTCCGTCTGCAGGAGGATGTCGAGTGATTTGTTGGGATAAACGGCGAGGAGTTTGGTGGAGTGAGGGAAATGCGTTCGCGATAAGCCAGAGGCGGAGAAAGTGGAAAAGCCAACGAATTCGCGTGGCCCGTCAGTCAAGCTTTTGTTCTCATGGGCTTTGGGACTTGGCGCCTCCACATCTGTCGGTTTTAGAGTTATAATAACTACCCGTTATTCGAATGAGTCCTGAGGGAGTCCTGATTCAGGACGGATGTACATAAATAAAAAAACATAATATGTTGATCATTCCCACTCTCGCAGTCCTTCCCCTTCCACATAATCTTCCCCGTAACACTCCCTTTGCAACATCTCCATCACCTCGCGATCGCCGCCGACCATTTTCCTCACAAACCCTTCCAACACGTAGATATTATCCGTCCACATCTGCGCCTCCCGCTGAAACTGCTGCACCTCATCCTTCATCTCCTGGACCCCCTTGCCCCCATCCAGACTCTCTGACACAGCCAACCACTCCTTCCGTAACTGCTGACACTCCGTCTCCAATTCCGCCTTGTGCCGGATCAACCTCTCTCGCTCACCGGGCTGCAGCGCCTTCTCATCATCTTCTTGCTCCCGTTTCCTGACCGCCAATTGCCTGTCCAGTTCTTCATTACTGCTCCGTAGTCGATCCACTTCTTCCTGCAGCTGTTCCACCTTTCGCTCCCGTTCCATCTTCTCCTCTCCACTGAAACACCAGTACCAGTTCCCACTTCCGATCTTCTCCACCCGGATCTGGCCGTCGTCGGCCAATTCGCGCAGGTACTCTTTGACTTGCATGCCGTTGATCGACACGATCGAGGGGAGCATCTTCTCGAGCTCTTTGAGCGTGTGGCAGGTCCCGGTCGAGCGGAGGTGGGAGACGATGCGCTTTTGTTTTTCGTCTTTGGTGAGTTTGGGGGGCTTTTCTTCGATTAGTTTGAGTGATTAATGGGTCGTTGTGTTGTTTTTAAAACAGACGACTGTGTTTGTTTGGGCAGTGACGTACCATGGTGTAAGTTACTAGATGTAGATTGGGACGTCTAAGACTAGTAAGTATTAGGTTATCGAGGGTACAGCTGAGGTCAGTTCGATGGGGGACTGGTTCAGACTACCACTCATTACTTGTCAAGTGGAAGGATAGAAGACGTTCAGTCTGTAGGCCAGTCGATGTCAGGTGCAGTCACCTGGCTTCCATTAGAACTCGTGATCTTCTACATTACATACATCAAGGGAGAAGGGAAAATGAACTTGGTCCGCATGCGCCAAAAGCAGTCGCTACATTAATCACAGATAGATTATATAGAACAAAGATTGAATCGAAATCACGCAGATCCCCGCCGAGCAACACCGATTACTAGGTACAATATCCACCGTGGAGGGGCCATCCTCAAACTTTCAACTCGCTCACGCGACCCTGGTCTTTCTGGGTATCACTAGTCGGAACGACCTCCTCAACGTGCAATGTCTCGGTCAGCTCTCGAGCTTTCTCGGTGGCGGCAGCACCGCCGACCATGGCGGTCTCCCCGTCGAAGTACCGAGCGATTTCTTCCAGCGGAGTATTACGTGTCTCAATGTAGAAGAACCAGACCACCACCAGCTCGATGGCAAGCCACACACAGTAGAAGATGTAGTACTTCCAGCCAATGTTATCGAGGGCGATGGGGTTGATGTACTGGTTGAAGAAAACTGCCCAGTGTCAGCGACTAGCATACCATGAGAGGACAGGGGCACTTACGCGCGGCATCAATGCAGAGCCACACCATGGTCATACCCTTGGCGCGGATGCTGTACGGGAGGATCTCCACCGTGTAACCCACCAGAAGGCCTGACCAAGCAATGTTGTAGAACACGTAGTAGATGTAAATCATGGCGACCACTGCATTCGCAGCCCCCGAGGCCTTGCTGATATCATAGCGAGCGGAGCAGATGGTCCACACGATGAATGCCACCAGCATGCCGGCGGTCGAAGTGAGGAAGAGCTTGCGTCGCCCAATCTTGTCAACAAAGAAGCACATCGTCAAAGCCACGATCAGGTTGAGGATCTGGAGGCAGCCGTTGATCAAGTTCTGCTCGACGGAGCTCGTGTATCCGACTGAGTTAAGAATTTTGGCGATATAGTAGGACACCAGACCGTTGCCGGACCATTGAGAGAACAAACCGGCCGTGATACAGATGATCATGCGATGTCGGTTGCCCTTGGTGCGGATCAGTTCCTTCCAGCTGTTGCTTTCGAACTCCTGCTCCAACCGAATGGTTTCCTTGATTTCGTGCATCTCCAGCTGAACCACTTCGTCCTCTTGGTCGCCATTGGCGTGACAGTCCGCCAGAACTTTGAGGGCTTGCTCGTGCTTGCCTTTGGAGATGAGGAATCGAGGTGACTCGGGGACAAACCAAATAAAGATGATTTGGAGGACCGACGGCCCAGCCTGGACAATTGTCGGAGCTCTCCAGGACCAGTTGTTCGAAATATTGTTGGTGCCGAAGGTGAGCCACGCCGCGACAATGGCACCCAAGTACCACGTGGCTAAATCTTGTTAATCGAAACACACAAGAGGACTGGACTTGGGATGCGGAGACGTACTGTTATAGATCGTGGTGAAGATGGCACGGTGCTGGGTGTGCACCAATTCGGTGATCAATAGAGGGGAAGCGCCATGAGCAATGGCGACGCCGAAACCGATCAGGAATCGAGCTGCCAAAAACATGCCGTAATTGGCACTGATGCTCTGAAGGACAACTCCGAGGATCCTAGCCTATTATAAGCACCCTAACCGTGGCTCCGCACGGGCAAGAACTTACATGATCAAGCAGCCGATCAAGATACCCATCCGACGTCCCAGCAGATCTGCGGTGTACGGTACGACGGGTAGAGCTGCTAGGGATCCCAGGGACATAATGGCACTGAGAATTCCCAGAAGAGAGCCACCGGGATGATTGAAATATTCCTGCCAAGGTTCGAGGGTTTGAAGACCGTTCATCATGGATCCATCGTAGCCATTCGTGGCCTATTCAGAACGCAATATGAGCACGAGTTCGGATGGAATACCGCTAGTGAGCCAGGAGAACGTACCGCCGTCAGGACCACCATTCCCAGACAGATATAGGTTTTCCTCATTCCTGGATTCTTCCACCATGTCACCTTGGGGAACTGCCGACCGGCAAGTTCGAAGGTGTCCGAACCCATTGTGAATTCAGTAAAGGGGGTCCGTCGTTTAGCAAATGCGAGTCTCTACGACTGAGTTGAAGACACACGCTTGTACCTTGTAACAGTACATTGCATGAGGGGAAAGCCACCTTAAAGAGCATTATGTTCGACAGTGTTTCAACCGGTCCATTTTTCCGTCTATCAAATCTAGGCAAGCGCTACATTACATGGTCCGGCTAAACTGTTGGGGACCCAGGACAGTATGTCCAATGGGGTTTCTCGAGACACGATGTGATTAGATCGACTAGCAGGTTCCCATAGGGCGCGGGAGATCTGGTCTCGAGCTCAATGCCGGCAAGCAAGTGAGCCAGAGCTGGACAGGCTCGGCGGGCCGAGAATAACACAACGTAGTACGAGATGATTCGTCCAAAGGACTCGCCAAGGCGGCTGTCGTACACGATGAGAAGAAACCGTATTGATTTCAGGCTAATTGTCTTGGAATGTACCCCAGAAACAAAAAGAGGACAATGCCAAAGGAAGTCTGGGGCTGAAGGGCCAGGATGGGAGCGGTGGCTGAAGTCCGGGGAATTTAAGGACGGTCTAGCGGCCGGTCCTCCAATGGAGACAGGGCTTCCAAGCCGGAACGAGCAAAGGCCAAGCCTCTAGCTTCTGCCTCAGGAGACTTAAATCATTTCAATTTTCGAGGCCATGGTTTACCGAGGATACTCGTCAAATGGAAGTCAAGCCAAGTGCCGAAGGATCAAAATCTCCCATGCTTGACCACGGTAAAACCAGATAGCTCAATATACCCCACAACTTTCTTTGGCCGGAATTGGGAGGCAAATGACTCCTTGCTGTCAGTCTCATTTGACAAGCGAGGCGCCACAAAATGCCACAGCTCGTTTCCAAGGGTCATCAGGAGCTAGCATGTGGGAAGGCAGGCGGCTATTGGTGGATCAATTGGGTGGGAGTCGAGAATTTCGTCGCAGCGTATCACCACCAGCCAATCTCTTTAGTAAACGCCGCAAGGTTCAGATCACGAGGTGACGAGGTCAATATGGAGTACATGGATGAGCCAATGCCCTAAAAACAGTTGAGCTGGCACTAATTGCACGGTATATTCACGTGTCGCAAGGGCTCCACGGCTCAGTCCGCATCGGTCGTAGAGGCTGTCCGAACCAGTCGCGGCTTTTTGGTGCGCTTTTTCCTCTGCCTCCTCACAGCCGTCCCGAGTTCGTCCCCCGAGCTTGCCAGGATGCTACTTCGACCAGTATTGGCCCTTTTACGGCCGACACGCTTCGCCGTCTGGGGTCGAGATTGATCCTCCTCGCTTGCTATCTCTTCCCCTTCCACCAGGACTAAATCACCCGTTTTGCCGAGCGATTCCTTCGCCATCTCCTCCAAAAGTATCCCCATGGCAATCAGCGCCGTTTCATCCATGCTTTGGTAATCATCCTGGCCGCGGTCAGGAGTCGCGTAGTCGTAGTAGTCCGCTGAGTAGGTATGAATAGCTTCTAGCAGGTCGGAACTAGGGAGCGGGCGGTCGGACGGAAGGGATTCATGGGCAAAGTAGAAGTCATTCTCCTCGTACCGAGTCGGTGCATTTTGCCGACGAAAGAGAACTTCTTCCGGACGGACAGGTCGAAAATTAGACGACGCCGTGTCACGGTATCGCGAGGAGAAAGGAATTAATGGAAGGAAACCGTGCGCATTTACCCGGCCTAAGATCGATCAGAAAAGTCTTTTTAAAGCTCGAGTTAGTCGCCCAAACCAGCTACGGCATCGTAGACAGTTGCTTGTCGCTTCTGTCGTCTGAAAGAAGGTCCCTCTGAATGGTCGTCCTCGTCCTCCGGAGGTTGGAAGGAATTCTGACTTCCAGTTAACGCAAGGGGTTTTCCGTCGGGCATTGGTACTTTGGATGTGCCTGTATGATGCATGCGCTGACACCGAGGACTCTAATAACTATCGCGATTGTACATCGAGTCGTTTATTGCAATTCTTACGGTCCGACTCGCAATTGTCGCTAATCACGTGTTGACAATAGTAATTGAGCTGCTGACGCTGATAAGAAATTTCCCCTATCAGTCCAACCGGCAGAATTTTTAAATGTTTTGACAGAGGCCGCCTTAAGTGTTGAATGTTTTCGAGGGTCACAGTTGTAGGTCTGTTAACGCTCAGGAATCAAATCAGAGTGGCACAGGCATCATTAACAGGTCATCAGTTATATAAGGGAAATTTCAAAGCCAAGAGTGCCTCATCCTGTAGAGACAGAAGTGGTATAAACTATCTATATAGAGCTTGTTCCATGGCTTTGAGCCCCAGGAAGTCTCACTAGCGTAGTTTCTCCCTCAGGCCGCCTTCTATTAAAGGCTAGCCCTCGTTCTCCGTTCCATAGTCCATAGTCCATATTCCGTACAGTAGTTCTTCCGTTCATGCTTTGTTGTGTCTTCTTTATCTGGGTTTCTGGTGAAAGGAGTGTTGGGAATTGAAATATCTATATGGCTATCACTGTCTGCAACCAGTTACTAATAGAGTCTTTTGCTAAGACAGCAACCTATTCAAATTATTAAGCAACTTCAATCTGGCAATGTGATAATGGAGATATATCTCAGATGTACGCCATCACCATATCAAGCTTAAGAATTGACAAAAGTTTAACACGAAAAATTGAATTCAATATTCAAGCTTTTGGTACATATATACATTATGTACCCCTGAGTGAAATATACTAGGTGATATAATTGACAACAATCATTCACTTATAAAAGCCTCGATCTCATCTCACAACGGCCACTGTTTTTTTATATCCATCTGGCTGTGCTTCTCCGCATAGACTACTACGCAATAGGCATATCGCTTTACCAACCCCCAATTTTAGACACCAACTTAGGGTGAGTTCAATCATTCTGGGTAGCAAGATCCCTATGAATATACGGAGGGCTGTGTTCTTCACCCACTGCAGATCGAGACCCACTGCCCTCAACCTTCTCCCCCGCCTTAGAATTTGATTTTGTTTACGTTGCCTATGCTACTCCGTGCAGCCGTAAATTTCCAAAGGGCAAGCTCACACCTTCTCGTGGAACATCTCCTATTGTCCCCCAACGATGAAACTCTCTTTCCCCGATCTAGATGTGGTGGGCATCAAAGTCGAGCCCGAGAAAGTTGACAATCTCCGCCACAAGGTTGCGAACCTGCTCGGCCAAACCAAGATCGGCTACCCTGGTGCGGCTCCCCTTAGCATCTCATCACAACATCTGGTGGAACTACAGCAAAAGGACTATTATGTCTGTGAGAAGACTGATGGAATTCGGTGTTTAATGTACATGGTGCGCGGGGACACTAGCTCCGACGTATCTGGGAAGCACTACTTGATCGACCGCAAAAACGACTACCGCTATGTATCTGGCTTGCACTTTCCTAAGCCAGACGATGAAACTTTCCTGTCGATCCATGACGATACCATAATAGACGGTGAACTTGTCATCGATACCTATGAGGACGGCTCGCAGCAGCTGAAGTACCTAGTATTCGATATATTAGTTTTAGGCGGGCACAGAGTAATGCACGATCCATTCGACAAGCGCTTAGTATATCTCAAGGAGGAGATACTTCGGCCCTATAAGACTATGTGCCAGAATCTTCCTGAGGAAAGCCGACCATTTATTGTCGAAGAGAAGTCGATGCATCCCAGCTATAACATCGAAATGATGTTCCGTGATATTATCCCAAAGGTTAAGCGCATTCGTGGGAATGACGGCCTTATCTTCACCTGCTGTAGCACGCCCTACTATATTGGTCTAGACGAGCATATCCTCAAATGGAAACCTGCTTCGGACAACACAGTGGACTTCCGCATGCACCTACGATTTCCTGATGCTAAGCCGGATTCCGAAGGCAAGATCAACAGCGTTACAGAGCCAGATTACGGCCCCATACCTGTCTGCCAATTGTCTGTCATGCTGTCCCCACAGGAGTATCTCCCCTTTGGTGAGATGTACCTTACCCGGAAAGAATGGGATGACCTAAGAGCGATGGGTACTCCGTTAGATGGTACCATTGTCGAATGCTATAAAGACAACCAATCTCGCTGGCGTTTCTACCGTCTTCGCAATGACAAGAAAGATGCAAACCCTATCACTGTTGTCGAGAAAACTCTCGAGAGTATAGCCGACTGCGTTACCGAAGAGGACCTAATCCGCGCCGCCGCAGCTATCAAGACAGCATGGGAGGCGCGACAGCGCTAGGATAGCCTGTGATGATAGGTACATTTCTATCGGTAAAGGGGATTTGTTGGATAAGTTTTACATTAGAGTGGCTATCTAGATACTCCATAGATTTCAAGTACTGGTTTCAATTATAAGAGAGTGTGTGACGTGTCCGGGCAAGCACGTCCCCAACTGGGCCAAAGGTCACTCTGATCAGACCCTACGGATTGCACTTTATTGCTTATGTAGCTAGGTCTTGCTTGTATAGCCCGTTTTGCCGAACGTAAAGATTCTACACTAGTCGAGATCGTGGCATACGGCTTGGGATCATAGCCGTACTAACCCGACCTAGTGCCGAGATAGGACTTTAACTTGCTCAGGGCTCTCCTTGAGAGCACCAGGACGAGATAGCCGATAGTTCGAGCCTTACTTGGGATGCGCGGGTATACCATCAACGCTGCAACAGGCTCAGCCAGCCTATTCTAAACGAGACATACGCCGAACGGGTGGCATATCGGATCAAAAAGTGGAAGGGCATGGCCGTGCAGAAGCCTGAGTGTTCGGGTAGAAGCAAGGGTCCAGATGATAGTCGGTTATGTGAGGGACGTAGGAGTGGTCATTGCAGTGAAGGGTTGGAATACTTTTAGGGTAGTGGGTTTTGAATGTCACTTTTACCATGGACTTGATGATAACTGACGTTTTGTAATGACCGTACCGGGCTAGGTATCGTCGTTGTCGAGAATCTGCTGTCGCTTTCATGTTTCAGAGATTATCACTTCCTAGTAGTCCCCAGTGAGCGTCTACAGTGGACCTGCCCTGGGTTTTATATTAATTGAGAATCAACCTTGCTGTTCATAATCCTTGGATGCTCGGGGCCAGGTGCCTTGGATAGCCTTATTGATATATCACCTTCCTGCTTACACTATCTCTGGAGGAATACAAGATTGCCATCAGTCAGTGTTGCCAGCTTGGAAAGACTATAATACTTTTCCAATGAGGGTAACACCGTCATTGGAGACGTAGGGGGTAACATTTCCTCGCCATGTTATCCTCTTATCCCTGACAGGGTTCCGCATGAGCCATCCGTAATACAGTGAGCCACTAGAGGACTTACAATCTCGTAGTTATGCAAGTTGAATCAAAATGGCGTGCGTTGCAGAATTTAGCAAGGCTGAATATTCATAAACCATCATTATCCACAAGGTCATCGTCCCTGTAGTGAAGCGAGATGATCTTGAGGTGAAGAACTAAATATATACTAGAATAGGAACTCTCGCACCCCTCCTCAATCCCATCAACAGCTTCTATAAGTGCATTAACCTCTTCACCATAGATTTACCAATTCACCCTAAGTCCTACTCCAGCATCACTGCCTATACAAAGCCCAAACCCCCTCAAATAAACGAATACCTCACTTCCTCTCTAACCTTTCTCGCCAAATCGAGTGCCTCCTTTCTCCCCACCCTCGAAAAGACATTAAAATACGCCAAAAAGGTATGACGCCCCGAACTCGGATGGGCAATTTTCTGGCCCCGCTTGACCAGACAAGCACAACGACTGATCTGCTTCGCAAGATCTGGTCGGCGGGCTATCAAGTCTGCGCAAATATCATCCGAGTCAAAGATGCCTTGACAATTTATGGGGTAGTCGGCCGGAATGAAGACCATGACACAGGTGTACTGGGGCCCATGCTTAAAAGGCTGGGATAGAGCACGGACACGGGGCTTGTCGCCGACGGCGATGAGCAGCGCCAGACCCCAGTAGTCGATTCCGTAGGTCGATTCGATAATGTGGGACCCCGTCATGCCGAGAGGACGGGGGTTGATCTCGATGAGCCATGGCGTTGGTGGTTGCTGAGTCGGAGCACGCGGGGACAGGTCGATGATGTTGTTGTTGTTCTGTTTCGTGTACTCGACTGATGAATGCTCGACCCGGCCTTCGAGGTGCATTACGCCGTCCCTCAGACCGAGCTTGAGTAGTGTGTCCAGGAAACTTCTTCGAAGGAGGTCTATTTCCTGGGGCGGGAGAGCGGACGGGTAGACGCTGTTCAGCTCGTGGAAGTTATGCAGCGAGCCTATGCTGGGTCCATTGATATCTGCCGACTTGGGGAGGTCATCGCAGACCTCGAAGAAGAGGACTTCGCCGTCCAGGAGTACGAAATTGACGTCGACTTCGGGGCCATCACAGTATTTCTCGATGACGAATGCCGTTCCGTGGCGAGACACATCGATAGAGTTGACAGCCATGGTAAGCGCGTCAAGGTTATCGACACGCGATACACCCTCCGAGCTCCAGCCATCGCACGGTTTGACTATAAGCGGATAAGGGAGATCTTTCTTCTTCGCGATTTCAAGAGCCTCATCTAGCTTGACGCACGATAAGCTTGGTGGCCGGCGAATACGCTCGTGAGGTACTTATTCGTGGCGATTCTTAGTGCTGCCTGTGAAGCTGTCTGAAGGCCCACCTGCGGCGCAGCTTGGGCGATATAAGGCCAGAACGAGTCCGCGAACGTGACAATGCCATCCACCGGCTTTCCGTATGCCTTCACGGATTCGACAATTCGGTCAGCTACGTCTTCTTCGGGTGGGTTAGTGAGACGTGTCGGGATGAACGCTTCACGCCAGTGTGCATACTCGGGCCTTCGAGCCAGTGCCCTTTATTGTCTAGCACGACGATGTCGATGCCGAGCACTCGAGCGGCATGGTAAAGGCCTACTCCGTCCTCGGGGTGGCTGCTATTCGCATCAACTAGTACTAGTGTTTTCCGATGTATAGGTTCAGACAGTGTCCACGGAAATGAGAGTCTGTTCTCCAAGTCTGATTCAACCGCTAGGGACAATGCCTCAAAGCCGGGGTATGAATCAGACTCTACATTATGTTGTAAGAGAAGACCGGCTGTAGCCGCAGAGAAAAGTGCAGGTAGGTTGCTGGCATCGGGAGGTGTAATTGCGGAGCCTGTGTAGCTCTGAAAGGGCTCGGCAAATGACACCGCCGTCTCGATATATTGGGAGTCCCGCAGACGCAGAGGAATAATGTCTGAGCGGACAATATGCCCTTTCTGCAAGGGCACGATGAGCTTCGCTATACGTGGCCTGGATGTGGTTGCGGCGCGCAAGCATTGCAGGAAGAACTGGAATGCTTTATGTGAACCGAAAGCTTCAGGTCCATATTCTTGAGGCGCAGAGTTCGGGCCAGAATCGAGGATATATGCGTCCTCGAGGCTATTACAGGCGCTGTTTGCATTTACTGAGAATACATGCCGGAGGACGATATCCACCGACTGCCATGGATTTCCGGTGGATGGGGTGTCAAGAAGAGACCATGAATATTCCAGCAGTAAGTCTGCTCATACTTAGTTGATGTAAGATCCAAGCAGGTTTGGTATCTTACCTTTGTGGCTTTTGGACCGGACCTGGACTTTTCGAGAGGTCATCATACAATTGGAGAAGCACAACATCAGAGTATTTTATAGCCACGTGGGTTCCAGGTTAAATAAAGCTCAAGCGCATGAGGTTAAATTTGTCTCAACAAATAAAAAAATCGAGCCATGCAGCATAGTGATGAGTTAACCTTGATTCGATTGCCCTAACTAATGACAGACCAGGAACAGCCAAGCTCCTTATAAAATATGGTTACGTTCCAAGCCAAAGGACTAAAATATGACCTCGCCAGCTTCCCTCAGGATCTAGAACCTCCTGCGCAGGTCGTAAAGATAACTGATACTCAGCTAGTCAATCTGACGTGCTGTTATAAATATATTCCGACCTGCAAGTATTTCTCGGGGTATCATTCCGACAGGCTCTTTCGGAGTGGATTCATCGGAGTTCGGAGTGAACATCGTTGTGGACGATGACTCTCCGCCAATAGCAGTCTGGTATTCGTAAATCACATCATCGAATCCATGAAGCCCTAAGTAACATCCTGGTGGTTTCAGTGCAAGCATGGAGTAGTATATCTGGCGTGAGGGGATGGTAGGCTGGACATGTAAAACTCCCAAATAACCCCCGTTGCTATTGTAGCAACTGTCGCATCAGGCCGGTCTTTACAATGCTCACATACATTCAAGACACTTGAAGATGAGCAGTATCTTGTACGGGATTCAGCACCCAAAACAAATGCTCGGTGCAACTATTATCCGCCCCGCATCTGGCGATAAGATCCAAGCCGATCAACGATCAGCAACCAACAATCGATTGTAACGGTCACACTCCTGATGAATGAATTCTTATCTTCTGAATAGGACCCTTGGGTCCATCAGTCCACACACATTCCATGTCGCGCAAACGAGCCGTCTCATTCACCACCTCGAACCAGCCCCCGGTATCCGTTTCTCCAGTCGCCAAAACCATGAACAGCCGACGTCAGCTGTTGATATACACTTGAACTCCGAGGATGAGCTCTACGCCCACAAGGCCGGGGTGAATGTGCTGGCGATAGATCAATATGACGGACGATTGTATGCCCCCCAGCTGTTGTCATCCGTCACCGTACTAAATGAATAAACCAGTATGGTCTCCGGGGGCGCAGACCCCTCTATTCACTTCTGGGACCTAGAATCCAGAGGCTCAGAACTAGGCCACGTCCACAAATCCATCGCCTCGGTCACAAAATCGTCGCATGAAGACGCCCATACGCACGCCATCACCTCCATATCGATATACCCCTTCGACCCAGTCCCTTCGACGATACTGTCAACCTCGCGCGATGGCACTCTCAAACTCTCAGCCCTAGCACCCGGCGCCATTACCCCAGTCCACACCTTCAAACTCGACTGCACACCATATGCCCACTCAATGTCATCGCACCCGGCCTCACCTCTCCTCATCGCCGTCGGCACGTCCGAAAGCCCAGTGCGATTACTCGACCTCCGCTCCGGGTTATCAACCCACGGACTCCCCGGACATTCCTCCTCAGTACTATCCGTTTCCTGGGGGCCCCACAGACCCCATATCCTGGCATCCGCATCAGCAGACCACAAAGTGATTCTATTCGATATCCGTCGCGGGGGCCACAACTCCGCCATCGCCGCCCTGGACATGGACGACGCCGTCGGCCTAATACCACCACGCAGCGCACCATCCAACTACCAAAGCCGGCCCGCATTCTCCCCACACGCACGGGCGCACAACGGCGCCGTGACCGGCGTGCGCTGGACCTCTAACGGCTCACACCTAGTAACGACCGGGCAAGACGCGCGGATCCGCGTGTGGGACGCCTCAACGGGCGCAAACACTCTCGCGCACTTCGGTCCCCGGGTCCGCAACGCCGTGACCTCCCACCTTGCCGAACGGGCACCGCTAGTCCTCCCCAAAGGCGTCATGGGTCCGGGGCAGGAGACGCTCTTGTGGCCGAATTTCAGTGAGAACGATGACCGCGGGGAGATCCTTATGTTCGAGCTGCGCGAAGGGTCTTTCATCAAGCGTCTCAAGGTCCCGGGTCTCATGGGCGGGCAGCAGCAGTTCCGGGGCCGGTCTAGCGCGCTCAGTGCCGCGAGGATCAATGCCCTTGTTTGGCGTGGCAATGGCGCCTCGGGCGAGGGCGTGGAGATGTTCTCTGCGCATGGGGACGGGACGATCCGCACTTGGGTGTCGAGGGAGCCAGAGGGGGAGCCGGACGAGGCTGAGGAAGCGGAGCAAGCGGATCGGAAACGCAAACGGGATGTTTTGGATGAGATCTACCGAGGGTTTATTGGACAAGCCTAGCTTGATCATGATACACATACAGATAAACACTTAGACATCCACACTGGCATAGCCCATTATTCATACAATAAACAGCTCAACACTCTAAAGCATAAACCCAATATCATACACTTCCATCCCCAACTCAACCCAAATCAAACAAAAAGAAAAGAATCACTCATCCAACTCACTCCCCTTAGCCTTCCCATGCTTCAAATTCCTCGTATCCCCCCGGACACCAGGCCGATCCGTGCCAATCTGATTCCACTTCGACTCTCCCTCCGCGGGCAACGTATTGCCCGTCCCAGTGACCACCTCACCCGACATGCCAGGGTCCCTCGGCCCACGGGGCATAGTGGCATCGTTATCGGCAGCGAAGGCCGAAGACGGCTGACCCAGGCCCTGGTTATCGAAGAGCCGATTCTCTGACCGCTGCTCGGGGCGCGGCACGGAGGGAATGGTGTTTTGTTTGCCGGCGTCGTTGGGGATGGTCGTACCCCTGGGGGCCATTTCGGAGAGGGTGCCGCCTTGGTGGGGGGAGGAGGAGGACATTGCTGTATGTATCAGTATCTTATTGCTGATCTGATTCTTGATGGATGTAAAGTGGGGTGTAGTGGTAGTGGTAGTTCGTGGTCAAGTTTTGTGCAATGGATTTAGGAGAAGTAGATTGAGTTACTGAGTTGTTTCTCTGAATGGGAAGTGGAATCAGTGCTGGTATGGATTTATATAGGGTTGTGGTCGCCATATGTGATGTCACTTTGTGCCCTGTCCTTGCGACGGGTGCATGATGGGATTATGATATCAGTGTTGGGGGGACATGGGTGGTTACTATGCAAGTGGTGCATTACATAATTGATCTACGGCGGTTTTTGTCTTTCGTGGTTATTTATGAAGAATTGAAATAGGAGTAGAATATGGAGAATATGCGGTGAGATGTTGGAGCATAGCTCATGGTGAGGTGGTTGTATAGTGTTTGTAGGGTATGAGCAGTGCACGTGCGCGGTTACCTGTTTGGTACTAATGTTCAACTTCGAGGTATTGGAGGGTCACTTGATGGATGTAACAAGGACAAGGGCTGTTTTGCAGTTATACGATACATGGGATACTGTAGAGACTTTGTGGAGGAAGCCGAAGATAAGGAGCACTTCAGCCTAACTAGGCACAGTGTTTTAAATAGTAACTTCATTAACTAGCTTATCATCACAAACTTGGATCTGAACGAAAGACATAGACGGCGATCCTATACTAATCTTAAGAGTACAGCGATTACACAACATTACGCCTCGACATCGAGGGTTGAAGAAAAAGAAAATGAACTACAGACACCACCCCATCTACAACACATAGGCCAAGAGACCAATCACTCCACAAGCGAGAGAAATGACACCAGCGCTAGGTGACAGGCTCGCAGCACCACCCTGGAACATGACCTCGTGATGAGAGGGAGAGGGTGTAGCAGGTCCTTGTGGGACGTGAGAGCTGTGCTCCGCGTCGACGCCGATCGGGACGTGCGCAGATGGTGTGGCGCCAGGAGTCTCAGCAACATGCGCACCGCTGCTGGAGGGCACGTAAATGGGCACCACGTGGACGGAGGATCGAGAAACGGTCTCTGTGGAGGTCAGAACTCCGTGCACGTGGGAAGGAGCGTGGGTAGGGGTAGGCGTAATGGCGATGTGAGCCAGCGTTGTGGAGGATGGCACATCGAAGTGGGAGTCGTCGTCGCCGCCCTGCTGAGGCTGTCCATGGGCAGGAGTAGAAGCGGGCCCATGAGCATTACTGCTTTGAGCCTCTTCATGAGAGGGATCTTGTTCATGGTGGGAGGCATCAACGCCGGTGGGCTTGGGGTCTTCTACTTCGTTGTCTTGATCATGTCCAGATTCTCCGTGGGGAGAGCCATCGTCACCGGTGGACTTGGGACTGTCCTTGGGGCTGTGGTCATCGTCTCCGGATTCTTCCTGGTGAGAGCCATCAACGCCAGTGGGCTTGGGGCTCTCCGCTGCATGGCTGGGCTCGGCATGTCCCGAGTCCTCCTGGTGAGAGCCATCAGTGCCGGTGGGCTTGGG